GGTGCCATGGGGTGCGCTTCAGCACACTAAAGAATGAAGAGAGAAAATCCATGACAGTGCTTGACCAACTCAACAACCCAGCAAACGGGGTGGGAAAGCCTAGGAACCAATCCCTGCCAAAGCACAGAAGACCAGGCTTGGATTTCCAGAAAGGATATACTAGATAAGACCCAGAAACCCCCCCCCCCCACCCCCCCAGTAACCTACAGTGCCCAGCTATCAGCTCCCTGTAGCCTGATCTAAGAGCCGAGCACCCGGTATTCCTGGGAAAAAGCTGAGATTCACCCTTATCACCTTTGTGAGCAAAAGCAGAGCATAAAGCCAAGAGAAACAGGCTTTTTGGCAACATGCACATCGCACCAAGTTTCCTAATGGGGCTTACAGCAAAGCTGCCGTCACCCCGCCACCTCTCCCGGGGCTAATGATATGGTGTCTGCCAACGGCAGGGCCAACACAGAGAAAATTACCCAGCTCAAACCCATCTTTACAGAGCTCACAGCCGTGGCAGGACAACTCCTGTTTTTACCCGTGTGCTGATCGCGTTTCAGAGACTGCCGAGAGGATAAGAGCAGGGTTGGAGCCCGCCTATTTAATGAAAGAGAGAGGCTGGAGGATGTGGTTCGCAGCTCCCTCCAGGTGGACAGACACTGTGAAACGTGGCTGAAAGCTACAATCTTCCCTGAATTATGCCACCAAGGGCTTTATTACTATTACTATTAAAATGTCTAGACCTGTTCTCCCCCTTTCTCGCACAGCACAGAGGTTGGCAGAATTACATGTGCATAAAATCCTGCCCCATCAAAGGGTCAAGGCTGACTTCTTGAAGCAGAAACCCCAGGACATCCCAAAAATCTCCTCAGGGCTTCACATGGGCTTTAATAACGCCAGGTGGGTGACACGGGCCATTCCAGAATTTAAACTCCTTGCCTTCATCCCGAGTGTGGTTCTTTTTTCAAACAGGATTTAAAAGTCCCCAAATTTCACACCTGAGTCTGCCCTCTGGTCTAGGTTAGAAAAAACCTTCAAACCTACTGCTGGCATAAGAGGACAGACACCCCTTGAAGCCCCTAAGACCTCCAGATCCTTATTGACAGGTTTCCCCACCCTCTCAGGCTCCTAAAGCTTCAGCAAAAAGCCTGGAAGCCTGGAAAACCATGTTCTTGGCCCAGAGCCCGGTCAAGAGGGCTCCGAAGGGCAGGGTCCCCAGGAGCCACCAGCCCAGCTGGCAGGAACCCGAAGGGGTCTCACAGCATCACCCCCAGATATCCAAGGACGTTCATCCAAAGGGCTGCGCTTCTCTGATGAAACCTTCTTGATGAAAAACTGCAAGCCCACCTGCCCAGGAGGGCTTGGAGTATCTGTACATATTGCCAGCTGCCAGCACCCACCAGGTGCTGGAATTACAACCCTCTAGAGAGAGAAAGAGTTGAGTTGGATTTTTTTGGAAGGAGAACAGGATATCCCAAGGCAGATGCTTGAAATGGATCCTCCCCCCATGTTTTGTTTTTCACACAGCAGAAATCCTGAAAAAAAGGGAGTTTTATCTCAGACCAGAGTGGGTAAGGCTGGCACCTCACTTGTGGAGCTCCTCAACAGCACTTCCAAGCCCATAATTACTTTCCCTGGAAACACAATCCCAGCCTCCTCCAGTTTCAGGATCTTGGCAAAAGCCATGATTTCCCCCCCCTTCCGATGCCGTGCATGTTAAGGCTGGGGTGGGGAGGAGAAGAAAGCCTCTGTCCCCTAAGCTACAGTTGTAGTGGAAGCCCTAACAGCCAGGAGATGCTGCGGCCACCCCAGCATCGCTAAGGCTTGCACCAAGCAGGGTTAGACAACACCGCCTCGCCAACGCCCACAGCCTGCACAAAATATTAGAAAAAGTGGCTGAATGCCCCTCCTCCCGCTGGGGCACACAGAGCAATGTAGATGTGCTGTTCCCACCTGTCAAGTGTTTTTTAATTATTATTATTAATAGGTTTGTTATTTTTAAAAAATCCCCATATGCGAGAGCTGAGTTCAGCAAATTACCGTAGCTGAGCGTCAGTACAGAGAGACAGGAGAGCAATATCATGCTCAGTGGAATATTTAACAAGCGCTGATTGCCTGGAAACCTAACTTGGTGAAACCTGCAGTAAAGAAGCAGACTTGTAAAAAAGCCAGCAAAATAAATAAATAACCCGCCAAGAGCGGGAGAGGGGGAGGCAGCGGGCAACTTGAATATTCAAAGCCTGCCTCCGCCCAGTCTCCCCTATAGATTCGCCTGCCAGAAGTGCAATGCAGGGCTTAACTCCACAGGAAGGCGGTCACAGAGGGGCTAATTCTGCTTTTGCTGGTACCAGCAAGAATAACTCGACCAAAACCGCTGCACTGGGCTCTAGACTCAGTCCTGGGCTCACAGCAGTACTCAGTGATGGAGGAATTCCCCCCAGGGCACCTCTTACAGAAGAAAATCCAGCATGGACCGTTTTCAAGGCGCTGGGCTGGGGAGATGTGCAGCCCAGTCTTGGCTCAGCTGCACGCTCCTGCTGTTCCCAGGTCAAGCTCTTCGCTGCCAACTCTGTGCCTTGGCTTGCCACCCCATAAATCAGGGAAGATGTCCCCTGAATGCCAACGATGGTCATCTCTGGGATGCAGAGGGTTGACCAGAGCAAGGGGGAAAAAGTCAGTGCGCAGGCTGACGAGGGAGGGACCTCTCCAAGGCTTGCCCCAGCTCCATGAACCATCATCCTTCCATGGAGTTAACGACAGACACCATGGGTGACACAGAATCCCCCAGCACCAAAAGCAGCCTCACCCAGCGCCATCACAGCCCTCTCCCATCACTTCCCTCGTGGGACTCACCCACAGCGTGACACTATCCCAAATCCCAAGTGAACAAAGCCCTGGCGAGGGTGGTCCAAAACCTGGGTCTACCACGGCTCCAAGGGACCTGATGTCCACTGATTTCAGCAGGCTTTGAGCTCGTTATTGCTCTTGTGAATCTGTGCACAGACACCTGCAAGCCCCAAAATTGCCATTAAGCTAAGGGCCACTTGATACAGGCATGAAGAGATCCGCAGCAAAGGCTGCAACACTGCGACTGCAGCGTGCTTCCCAATGCAACCGAGAGCAAGCACACCAGCTTTTTAGCAAAGCCAAATTCACATCTCCAACCCATTTTCTACCTGTGCTCTATTAATAACACGATAACGCACCCATGCTGCTAGAAACACAGGAGATTATAAACACCCCTCCTGCAGCACCCCTCAGGGAGGATGGGAAACAGAGGCACCGAATATGGCACATTTTCAACGTTACGGGGATTTTTTTTTTTTTCAGGTAGACTATAAAAGCACTTTTAAAAATTCAAAGACAGCTTTTCTATTACTTATGCCTCTGCTCAGCTTTGATTTTTTTTTTGATACTTTCTTTTCTTTCTTTATGTGTGTGCATGGCTTTTTTTTTTTCTCCTTTTCTATGGGTAAAATCAGAAGACAATTAATATTACAGTGCTTTGAAGTTCCATGGTTATTTATAGAATTTTTTTCCCTGAAATCAAACATAGGTAGATATACTGCAGGGCTCGGCATATTTTAACAAATCAAAACAGCTTTTAAGATCTGTTGAGCCAGAGATCACAACACTTTCTCCCTTAAATCACCAAAAGACCTGTTACCGTTGAAATGAAAACTCATGCCTCTAGTCCAGAAAGTGCTTACACTTATTCAACCCCCTAAGACCAGACACGCTGCTGAGTTACCTTGAAAAGTTAATGCTGAAATTTTCTTTGTTTCAATGGATTTAGCAGACATTATGCAGGTGTAACCACAGAGAATTTCACCTTAAATTTTCATCCTAAGGTCCTTCTTTCATCCTCCTCAGCGATTTCTTGGGATCTTTTTCCACCTACCCCAAGGTAAGCACTGGATTCAACAATTTCATCTCCAAACAAATACCAGTGCAAAAGTCACCCTGACATGTAAGACATGGAAAACGTTTGCAGGGAGGAGTTCAGATCTTCTGACCACAGGTCAGCATCGTTTTGGTCATCACCCAGAATACCAGTTGCTTTAGGAGGTGCCTGTGGACATTGATCCTCAGGAACTCATGAACTCATTAATTCTCTCCATGGCAACATGCTGGGACTTGTTAGGGAAAAAAAAAAAAAAATAAACCCCTTTGGGAGTATAATAAAGTGTCAAAAGGGCCAAGGGTCACAATTATCGAAATCAGACCGAGAGCGCGGAGAGAAAACGCCCGCCAAAATGAACTGCTTCAACAACCCAAAATGGCTAATTATGTAGGAAGAGAGACATCACACCAAGAATAACCATAATGAGCTTTGATTACACTGTGGCTTTCGCATTTTATTCTTTCAAATACCCACCCAGCTCTTTGAAATTCAAGAGTTCTCTTATGTTAACATCAAAAGGTAAAAGCGCATGGAGGGCTGTGTACTTAGTCACTGTGAGAGATGATTAGCAAATTAAGAAAAAAGAGTCCAGGGTTTAAGTGAAAAGCAGAAAAAAAAAAGAAATAAAAAAATAGTCAGCACAAAGTGCTAATTATACAGTTTCTGCACAACACCTGGCTTGTTTTTGCTTCTTTAATCAGGCTCGTTTCAGTTATGGCACAGACTCTATACAGCGCCGCTGCTGCCGAAGGAAGGAGGCACACAGCTTTGTCATTTCCCTGCCTCAGATGTGTCTGGATGCAGACAAGGTAGCGGCACGAGGGGAAGGTGCGAGGTGCTGGCTGTCCAGGACATCACTTCTCTTAGTTACAAGCACTGGAAAACGAAAGGCATGATATTCTCCCTACTAATTAATGATATAAATATTTAATGTGGTATTCACAGCACTTGCATCAGGACTTTTGCCAAAGGACGTGTTTCGGTTTGTCAGCGAGAGGTAAATAATTAAGTCTCCTTATTCCTGTTCTGAGCTCCCCAGCTGCAAGTTTGAAGAATAAATAAATAAAGACCATTCAGCAGAGTAAATAGGACTGTTTCACCCTCTGCCCAGCACGCTGCCGTCACGACAGCCTCCTGCGCTCCTCTCCTGCCCAGCCTGTGCCAGTGCTGATCAGCCATCAAGCTCCCAAAATTGCCTTACTGGAGAAAGTCACAGCACGACGGTCTCCGATGGTCCAGGAGCGGAGCATCACCCCAGGCTGCCTGCGGTTCTGCCTCCCCCAGCCCTGCCTCCACGGCAGGCAGCGTTTCTCTCCCCACTGCTCCCAGGGATGCTCCCAGGGATGGGGCACGCACCAAGCCTTGCTCCCTGCAGACCTCGGCAGAGGATGCCACACCGCATCAAGTCCTGAAACCACAACTGCCCACCCAGCGGTGGCCACATCTCGGCGTGTGAGCGTGCCGATGGCTGCAGAGGAGGGATGGGAAGGAAAGAGGATGATATTCTCATAAGCAAGGCACGGAGTAGATCCCCCTAACCACACGGGATTACACGATGGGGAGGCACTATTACCCATCGCTATTGAGAGCACCAGCATCCAGCCCAGCCCCAGATGACAAGGAGTGCATCTTTCCTGGCCACGCTGCTCCTTCTCCTCCAGTGAGGAGATATTTTATAATAATTTTATAATCCCCCAAGCCTGCTATGGCCTTGGGGACATCCTTAAGCTCTCCCCCTGGAGGAGCTGGGCAGCTAGAGCTGGGTAATGAGCTGGATTCCCTTCCTAAATCCAGGCTAGCACAGGATGAAAAGAGAGGAAAGAAGAAATCGTATTCAAGAAAAAGCCTCTGTATTGCTTATTCTCTCCCTCGCTCCTGCCTTCCCTCCTTGGGTTTACTCACACGGGCCCATCCCCGTACTGTTGGAGACTCTCACCATTTTTAATGCACTGAGCCTTGGAGCTTGAAATACGTGAAACTGAACCGCAGGGGGATAAGAACCTTGCCCAATGTCATCCGAAAAGCGAGTGGCTGAAACAACAACCCAATGGCAGTTTCTTCACTGTCTGCACAGTAAAAAAAAAAAAAAAAAAAAAGAAAAAACCTCAAGAGCTACTTTGCACCATCTCCTCCTTTCTGGCCTCTTCTCTTTTCTATTTTCCTTTCTCACAACACCCATAGCCTACTACCTGGACACTTGTACATATTCACAAGCATAGTTACATACGCATTTATAAACACTGACTGCATCATTTGCAGAGATTTGGACATTCGATTAATTCAGCTTTTCTTTTTTTTTTTTCCCCCCTCCTTTTCTTCCAGCTGGCAAACGGTCAGAGAAAAGATCATGAAACTTCTAAATTAATTCATTATTCAACACAGTCCACTAGCTTTTCTCAATAGCTCTGACGACGCAAATTGTTCATAAGCGAACTGTCACAAACACTCGCAATGTGACTTGCATAAGGGGTGCTGCGGAGGCCACGTACCGGTGCCTCTGCTTCATGGGTCAGAGCACTCGCATCCTCTCCAAGAGCCGAACACAACACACCGAGCCTGCGATACAGCTCAGCCTCAGCATTTGCTGAGCATTAAAGCTCTCAAGCACTTAGGAAAGGCGTAGGAATAGCAAAATCCCTCCTGCTCGTCATGTATGTGGTCCCTTCTGCAAGAGCCAATTTCCTCCTCTGCTATAGGGTACCTTCACCGGCATTTCCCTCTGCCACCCCTCTGTGTTTACATGGGGTCCTGTAAGAAGTGCTCCCTTTGCGGGGCCGGTGCCCCATCGCCCCATAGCTTTGGACAAGCCAAGCATTGTCCCTTTGCCCTCTTTCTTGCTCCTGCCACAGCGGTTAACTGAGAACATTCATTGTGCAATGAGGCCGGAAAACCCAACTTGCTGGAACTCAGGAAATCAGGTTTGCAACCCAAAATCTTCCACCAGCCACAGACAAATCACCTCTCTGTTCCTCAATCTGTCCATCTGTCAACGGGGTTATACCAAGAGCGCACCGTGGAGATGTACTGGGGAGAACAGGGTAGAAGAGGTGCCCATTTTACTCACCGCTGTGCTTAAAGTGCTTGGAGACACTTGGCCACAGACTGCTCCACCAGGCACAAAGCAGTGTCAGTAGGACAGAGTTTGTTTTGAATGGCCATGGAAAATGATCCATGTTGTTACAGCCACCGTGGGACGGAGTATCTGGAAGATCTAATTAAACTAAGCATTTGCCGAGCAAGAGGGAAAAAAACGGAGCAGTCAGAAGGCACAGCAAATTAACCTACAGAGGCTGAAGAGGCAGATAAGCTCTCAGCTGGGTCCAAAAACAGGCAGGGAGGTGGCAATATGTGCACAATCATGTCCGGAGAAGAGCAGAGCAGAGCAGGAGCCACGTCACCAGCACGACTTGCCACCAAGGGCTGGTACCCCTAGGGCTGGCTGGATCAAAGCGAGTCTCTAAATACTGCATCCAGGAGGAAAACGGTGAACCCTGATGCCAGGAGGCCACCTCCAAACCATGCGGACCAGAAAAAGGACGATCAGCTCAGGAGAGCTCAGGATCTCAGCCCAGGGAGAGGCAGGGGAGATGGTGACCCAAGGCTGCCATCTCGGTTCCTCACTGCCCAGGTTTGCCTCTGTGGTGCAGCTCAGTGGGATGCTCTGCGGGGCTCTGGCAGTGTTTGGAGAACAGTCTACAGGAAAGGGGACTCAGAAGGGGCCCCAGAGCTGGGGAAAACCTCCCCACAGACCAAACACAAGTGCTGGAATCGCTGGGGCATGTGAGTGGGGATGAGCAGTGCACGGAGGCAAAGATGTGGTGAAAATCACATGCAACTGGGTAAGGAAGGCAGTAAGGCCAACTAATCAAGTCAAGCAAAGAAAAGAAAAGGAATAAGGAAGAAAGTCTTTTTATAGCTGGAAATCAGAAACTTCAGAGGACAATATTCTAGAGGAAGAAGGAAAAAAATCAAACTACCTGTATTCCTAACCATGCCATCATTGCAACGATCAGTTCTCTAATGAAGCCAGATATGGGGGATCCAGGCATAAGAGTCGTATCATGGGTCTAACATCTTTCATCTGACAACATCACTCATGATCGTACCTGCCAGCACAGTCAAGTGGTGAGTTATAGGGAGAAATGAGATTAAAGTCCATCCCTGCACTTCACATGTTAAAAGCATCGTATATCTCGGGGGCTAGAGGACACTTGGCTTCACTTTGCCATCTCTGTTACAACGGGTTCCAGAGAATGGTAAACCTATGCAAGGCACTGTAAAGATAAAAGAGAAGGTCCAGGATCAAGGAGGTGGTACACTGTCAGTGCTATACACACCCAAAATCCACGCACCCTAGAGAGAGAAAGCGGCGACAGATTATTAAGTGTGAAGCAAAGGAGATGGGATTGGGCATGAAACCATAAAGCAAAGCAGGAATTCAATTTCAGGACTGTCAAACTCTCTTGTGGCACTGGGTGCATTCACCTGAGGAAGGATGCTGTTTTCAGAGAAGAGCCCAGCGAGGATGTCACGGTGAACAGGGCACAGCTGAAGTCTCCCCCCAGTGAGCAATCCCAGTCTGACCAGTACCGACAATGGCAAGGGGTCCCTTGGGGAAGCCAGGATTTAACTGACAAGGCTTGCAGCAGGGCACAAACCTATGTGGGCGTGAGACACACCTGCAAAACACTTATCACTGGCACAGAGCAGAGCACACCCAAGCTCACTGCAGAGGAATCCACCAGCCAAGACCTGGAGATAGCCCCCTCAAAGGTGTGGTGGCCACAAGTCACTAAATCTTCCCACAAGAAAACTTGCAGATTTGAGGCACACATTGGGATTAAACACAGATTTCAAAAACCTGTGGTGAAAATGAAGCCTTTAGTCTATCCACTACAGCAAAACACAGCCAAGAACAAACCGACAAATGAAGGAATGGCCACATGCCCAGAGCGCTCCACTGCATATCCAGAGCAGTACAGAAACCGTCCTTGAAAATCTAGTCTGCGTGTGCACCATTAGGGCTTCTCAATTAGCAAGCCTTTCTGGCACTTGATGGGTCACTGGAGAAGCTCAAACAGCAGTACCAGAGCAGACATCTGCAGAATAATAGCTGTCCCTAGAGGACTGGGACAAAATACAGCTGAGCACTGGTACCCAGCTGGATATAAAACCTCTTATCCCAGACTCTGTCTAATCTGCTGCTGCTCCCTCAAGAGTCTCCCATGCTAGACACTGCAAAGGGAGCAAAGCTACTTACTTTCCTGAGCATCCCACTGTAAAACCTACTTCTCGGAGACCAGCTTTCATGCTAATTTCTCCCAGTAATCATTTGAGACTGTAGCTGGTAGGTCTGGTCTTATTGCTGCGGTGAGTGCAAACAGATTCTGCCTTTATCTATGAAAACCTCTAGCCCACTCACCCTTTTTTAAGAGTAGACTGGGAGCTCTTACCTCCGAATTGTCCTTAGCAGGGTCGACCGGGCCTCGTTGTGGAAGGTGATGACGACGCTGGTGGGCGGGAGGTCCTGGCGATAGTGCAAAGTCGTACACCTGGGGGGCAGAAAGAGGAAAAGGCCATTCAGGTGCTGGAATTCAAAGTGGGAGCTCACTTCATTAACACAGGCATCAGTAGATGGTCCTCCAGCCACTATTTAAAAGAAAAGAAGAAAAGAAAAAAAAAAAAAAGGAGTTTTTCCTGCGTGAATCCTTTCTGAAGGAGTCCAGAAACTGCCAAGTAAGTCACTGAGGATTAAAGCAGCAAAAAGAGCTTAATAGGAAGGGATGAGAAAGGAGGCACCGAGCTTGCAGCCCTTTTCTCTAACCACTTCTTCCCAGCTAGCACACCCTCCTGTGCTACCAGCCTCCCCCACCAACGGGTAATGTAAAAAAAAAAAAAAAAAAAAAAAAAAAAAAAAAAGGAGTTTTTCCTGCGTGAATCCTTTCTGAAGGAGTCCAGAAACTGCCAAGTAAGTCACTGAGGATTAAAGCAGCAAAAAGAGCTTAATAGGAAGGGATGAGAAAGGAGGCACCGAGCTTGCAGCCCTTTTCTCTAACCACTTCTTCCCAGCTAGCACACCCTCCTGTGCTACCAGCCTCCCCCACCAACGGGTAATGGGAAGGTAACAGTCCTCCCTTTTTATATTGGTTAGGGCAATGCCACCTTCAGCAAAGATACTCCTCACTGACGTTAGCACGATGGGATCAGAAACAGGTCCTTCACGCCAAAGGTAAGGCACAGTGGCGGTGCTTGCAGAAGGCCAGCTGCAAATCTTATGCTGCCTCAGTGGCTCTGTGAGCTTCATGGGGCTTCTGGTGTCATTCCAGAAGTACTGGAAAAGATGCTGAGGTCTTTTTCTTTCTTAAATTGAGGCAGGGGCCTGAGCACTCTCACACCCACCTGGCTGATGGCACCAGCAGAGGTAAGAGCATCGTTGCAGCTCCAGCTCTGAGCCGCCTCACTCCCACCTCCTGAGGCTGCAATTTCCACCAGCCAGCTGCAAGGTAAGCCAAGTCCTGTTTCTAAAATGATTGTTTCCTTACTCATTCTGCCTTAATGGCATAACCTGACTACAGGGAAGATTGGGATTTAACACTTTCCAAGCCAGCCTGCAGAAGGTGAAAACCCACAACTGCAACCACAGCCCCTGCTGCCTCCTTCCCAGGAGGAAATGTCGTAGACTCTGTAATTACTTTGACCTTTAGCTGATGAAGTTTGTGGCTTTTATAGACCGATGCTGACATATTCCTAGCTCAGGAAATCCAGATACACCTCTTACATCTGTGCTGCTCTTTCCAGGTCCCCATCAGCCCCTGTGACGGCCTTAAGATGACACACCAGTGGCAGGAGGACACCCTGTGCCCAGCCTAAGGAGCTCCTCAGCACAGCCATCACGCCCCTTCCCATCCACACGCCACTCGCCTGCTCTTGTATCGCTGCCTAGGTGCTACCACTACCATCCTCAAAAGAAGCAGGAAAGAGAACCAGGCAACAACTCTTTCAAGAAACCATCAGTTTGCTCCCCCAAAGCTCTGGACCGCGGTATCTGCAAGGTGAAGTAAAAACAGATGGGAAAATTATGGTGGGGATGGGGAGGAGAAAACAAGTAACAGTAGCCACATATTGCTGGTTTATGCTATCAGCACGGCACATTGCACCTCAGAAATGCCAAAATGCTCGAGATATTCTTTTCAATGAGGTTTTTCACCTTTTCATTTTGAAATTGCATTTCTGATTATTTACAAAGTGACCTAAATGAAAGGAAAAAAGAGTGCACAACGGGTGAAATAATTCCAAAGATAAGAAAAAAAAAATTACATCTTGGGTGGGACAAAATATTTGCAAACTCACACTAAATCAGTTGCTGCCTTCTCTCATCAAAACCTTTCCCAAATCCTGCCTCAACTTGACCAAAGCAGATTTCTCATTACCACCCTGTTCTTTCAGCATAGTCACTAACCCCCAAAATTCTTCATTCAACCAATTCTAATTCTAGGTCCATCCTCAAAGGACACTAAAGTTGCATGGCCACTTGGCATGCAGGAGAAAATTCAGTGACATTGCCCCATGCGACAACACCCTCATTCATCAAAGTTATGTCTCAGGGATGCTAAAAGCAGAAGGTTTCTGAATGACTAAACAGCAGCAGGTCATGCCCTGAGCTGCTCAACTGGGTCACTGCGGCCCCTTGCATCATCCAGTAACCAACTTCAACTGAGCTTTCCCAACCTGATATGATGAGAAAGAAGCTGCTGCTGCTCGGCGCCTGGTTTGCCGCGCTCAGGCTCAGCTCTCGCTTGCTTTGCGGAGCTGCAGGGACAGACTACGACAATTGCTTTCCCTGTGCTATTTATACACCATTATCTCCTAACTGTTCCCAGATGCGTGTCCTTCCACCTGCTTCCATCAGGAGGGGCTGTGTGGAGCAAACAGGGGAAGCTATTTCTGGAAAAGAATGAAAGAGGGTGGAAAATACAAAGTCATCAATACTTTACTTATGTTACGACAATAGTTAAGAAGCTAATAAATAATGCCGAAGCGGATGCGTGCCGTATCACCCACCAGTGGGAGTGCCAGGGATCCTGCACACTGGCTGAGCCTGCCAGCGCTGTGGCGAAGGCTCCTCGTGCGTGACAACAACTTGATTTTAAAACTCCAGATGTCTACGCACCCGATCAGCCTAATTAGACAACACGCGTGAGGAAAACACTGAAACATCATAGAAGAGCACCTCCAGAGCTTGGTCACTGGCTCTGTGACTCACCCCGACTTCTGTCTCATGAGGCTCATCACATCCCAAAGACGTCTGACTGATGACCGCACTGCCGCTACGGAGTGGGCAGGGACCTGGCAGCACCCCAACCTTGCTTCACCTCTGTGACCAGCACTGCACAGCCGGTGGGACTCGCCTCCCCAAAAAACAGCCCACAATTGTTAGGCTGAGCTGCTGCATCTGCTAGGGCTCCTCTGGGGTCCTTATGTGGCCCCGACTCTGCCCTTGCCCAGGATTTTACCCCTGGGTCCTTCCTTCAGGAGCCCTCCCAAACTTTTCTCCAGTTTGTCCCTTATTTTTCTTTCCTTCCCCCCCCAGTGTAACTGCAGCTAAACATCCTGGCTCCTCAGAAGGCAGATTTCAGTTTAAGTTGTTGACTACAAGTGTTTTTTTGGCACTTGCTCGGGTAATAAAAACCACAGCTTGGAAAAGCATTAAATCCAGCATGTCCAGAATTATTTTGTGTGACAATTACATCTGGGGTAATTTCAATTTAATACCTCACTGCAAGTGAAAATTGCAGCATGCAGCCCTAAAATTGCTGTAATAATGAAAATAAACCCGCTAAGAGCTGCCTGTGCTACCTCAGGCTGTCACTGGATAAATGTTTTGTGCTGCTTATGATATTTCATAAGTCACCCAATTGCCAACAAGAAAAAAAACCAAAACCAACACCCACAACATTTTCAGGAAACCAACGAAAGTTTGAGGTTGTTTTTTTTTTTTTTAGATTGTTCAAAAAAAAAAAGGTTGAAAAAAAAAGTAATAACTCCATTGCTTATATTTGCAGTGTGTTGAAACTCACTGACTGAAGTCATTTAAAGTTTCATGCTTTGAAACCTTGCAGCAGGACTGGGGAGCAATCTTAGCACAGCAGGTACTAGCAGGAACGTTGCCAGGCTGAACTGTCTGCAACATGAGCTCCTCCACCAGCTCACAGCATCTGGGGGGCCAAAAGAAGACAGAAGCTAGGCTCGCCTGCCCTAAAAACCCCAGAGCGAGCATCCAGCCAGAGAAACAATTATTATTTCCTTCTGCAAACACAGAAGTCAAACTTTCATTTGATGGGAAGTTTCACTTTTCTGTTGCAAGGTTATTTCCCATTCAAATTTGAAATAATTTCAGAATCAGAAAGTTATGAAAGGGGCATTCTGGCTGCAGACACCTTAGGAATCACCCTTGGAAAATCCCAGCCTGGACTGGCTGCTCGCAGTACTTCCTTCAGGGTGGAAGGAGCAGCACATCTCATCGCTGTGTTCCCAATATGCCGTTAACAGCTCAGGAATAACTTACGGTGCACCCGTTTGCGGGGACAGGGAGCAGACAGCCGGAGCCCTGCACTCATCGCAGGAATTGCAAAGCCCTCCTGCAAAGTCCCAAACTTTGGACACTCCAGTGTTCCTCACAGGCCTCCAAAGTCCCTCACGCTGGACTTCTTTTTTCTTAGGTTGCTTCGACCCTTGTGCTCCTGGTGAGCGATGGGGTATCACACCCTGGTGGCCTCTGCAAACAGGCACCCCTGCATCCCTTGAGGTCCTCCTGATGGGGCAATGCACACCCATTCCCAGGGCATTTCAACCCATTTTACATTTAAAATGGCAGATTTAACTCATAGTGCCCCTCACCAAATGGAAGCCCACCTTGGAAACACCACTATGTAACACAACGGTAAAGACTAATAGTGTGAACAGAGACGGACCCTGTTCCTCAGCCCCTCCTGGTCCACCCCTGGGCTCATCCAGAGTGTGTTTTCTCCTTGACATCCGCCATCACGTGCCCGCAGAGTGCGCCGTGTGTCCTGAAACCCACCTCTCACGCTCACCCTCTCCTGTGCCTCGTTAACTTCCTTCAAGAGATGATTATCTTCATCCCGCTCCCCCAGCTTCCCCTGCCAGGCTTGTGCTCGTTCCTCCTTTCTGCTTCAACGGTCATCACTTGCCAACAGCTCTGCTTTGAATCCTTAACATTTTCCATAAAGTCCAAACTCTCCCTCAACACAGCTCACCACTTCCAAAGCACTCTCTGCGTATTTATTTCGAACAGCCAGCCGCATCAGAGAGAGCTACACCATCTTTCAACTCCCTCCTGGCTCCTCTCTTCTCCTTGGAAACACGCGAGAGAGCAGTCTCGTCACCACACATCTAAACCAAGAGTATTTGGGTTTGTCCCCACACTGCAGTCACAGGGCTCTCCCTCTCACATCGACCCAGAGGGCAGGGACCTGCCATCAGAAACAGTATGGGTTCACACTACCACTGATGGACAAACCTACGAGCACGC